TGGTTTTTAATAAGTTTTCGGAACGTAACCCCCGTTTTTGTACTGGCTCTGGGTCTCATACAACACGGTTTCACACAATACGGCATTTTCTAGGAACCTATCTACCGTGTTGTAGGAGGGTTACCTGTAGATAGATAGATAGAGAGAGAGAGTGAGAGAGAGAGAAAGAATGTGTAACATTTCTTATGTATGTGTGCGAAGCGTGTTCGGAATCCAGACAGCCGTTTATTACGAGGACGTTATAAAGCAGATCCTTTTCTTCGAACTTACAATTTGGGCTTAAGCCGGGTATTCATCTGAGCACGAATGCGAACGAGGCAAGGCGAGTCCGAACAAATGCCTCGTTTTGCCTCGTTTGTAAAATTTTTCTTCGCGAACGAAGTCTGCCGAGGCAACGAACGAGATAGTGATCCACAACGAACGCAGTGAACGGTGAACCAGCGAGATGGACGATCGTTTGGTGGCCAGCGCTGCTTTTGTGGTAATTGCCGGATTATTAAAAGAAAGAAAAAAAAGGCGGTGGTGGAAGACTGCTTTATATTGACAAAGATTGAGCACCAGAGGTCAAGGCTTTTTGAATAGCTTACAAGAAGAAGAAGCATACGGTCACTTTAGAAACTTTACTAGAATGTCTTCTACAGACTTCTATTATTTGTTGGAATCAATCCGTGACGATATTTCTCGACAAAACACAACATTTCGCAAGGCGGTAACCGCTGAAGAACGATTGGCTATAACACTAAGATATTTGGCAACTGGGGATTTGTACACTAGCTTGCAATATCTGTTTAACGTGTCAAAGCAATTAATTTCAAAAATAGTACCAGAAGTGTGTAGAGCTCTAGTGAAGACCTTATTTAAACATGTGACGGTAAGTATATTTTAATGTTCGCTTGCCTATTGCAAACATGTTAATAAAATTTATATTACATTTTTTACGCTCTGAGCTCCCTTGGTAGGGAATGACATGTTTTCAGAATCTGTTCGGATGCGTGTGTATGTGATTGGACGTGTGCATACAAAACAGTCTCTTTTCTCATTTGTTTATTTCATAATTAAGGAATTTCATGTTTGCAATATAAATTTTGTAAAGTATGAAGGCTTCCGCTGTTTTGAGGCTCCCTGCTCGTCTGATCCTCTTGAGGTGATGGAAGAGAAGAGTCAGTATAAGATAACACTGGCGATATTGCAGATATATTATAGTCTGAGGCAGAACAGGATGAATATTGCGACGTGGGTGACATATTTCGTAGTTCAAGTAATTGTTGAGTTTGTGTAGTAAAAGTTCGGTTTTGTGGTTCGGTGGTTTGAACTCGGATCGGCAGTTGCATGGGACCAGGTAACGATTGTATTTGCTGTGGCATTGAAAATTGTTGCGGGTTCATTTCTGCTTGAAAGAGGAGATTGTGTATTTGATGTTGTAATATCATGCGTGTTCTCGGATTATAGTTGCGTAGGTTTTCTGCAATGTATTGACCAAATATCGAGCTGTCATCTTTTGTTGTATTGGAGTGTACTGTGCTCTTCAAAATATTAAAAGCTTCATTAATTCGAGGATCCTTAGAGCGCTTCCTTTTTGGCGCCGACTTCTTGGGCGATACAAATGTTTTTGCTGGTAGTGTGTTTGGGTGGCTATTTTCGTTGACTTGCTCAACGTCATCATGGTTTTCTGCTTCCTTTAGGTCTTCGGCTGTCACTTCGGGAGTCTCTTCGAGCGTCACTTCGCCGTCATAATTCTAAAATGAAAACATTATTTTGTTTTAGGTACCTTCAACCATTGAAGAGTGGAGAGAAGTATCAAACAATTTTGAACAGGCTTGGAATTTTCCGCACTGTTTAGGAGCACTCGATGGGAAACATATTTTGTTACAA